CAGATAAGTTTAGAAGGCAGGCAAGCTCAGAAGTTCCTTGAATAAACTATATTCCTACCACCTCTTTTTCCCCCCTCTGTCAGAGACGCTTGAGCCCCACACAGGAACCAGACTCACATTGTTCAATAGCCACGGACGTTTCCACAGTAGCTGGGAGGGTCAAAAGCTTTTTCCGCCCTTTGTTACTACTTTTTTTTTTTTCCTTTCCTTCTTCCAACTTTCCAGTTAAAGAATATTGCTGGGGCATTCCTGAATTAATCCCGGCTAAGCTTCAGAGAAGAGAACAAGAGACAGGTGTAACCAGGTGGGAAAAATCCCACCATGCTAGTGAAGCTTCTGATCATCTGTAATACAATAGGATTGGCAAAGCTGGTTAAGCACGCAGACCATCATGGGTATCATGATGGTTCAGTGCACAGCTCACAGCCACAAATTCATGAGACCTCTGCATACCCCCAGAGGAATCCTCTGTCACACGAGGAAGAAGGTTCCTGGGAGGCAGAAGGGCTCAGGGAGAATACTCAAGATTACTCTTCAAGTGTGATCTCCTCACATCAGGAAGAGAGAGAGGACTTTGAAGCTGTGAGCCCACAGTCCCGAAATGGGTGAGTACCCCAATATGGGTCTGTCTTCCACATAATAATAGCACAATCCTGTCTAATACTGTATATATGCTGTTGATAAAGGACCATTTTCAATAGAAGTTTCTCATTAAAATATGTTAGATTTTAGAGATCAGTCTAACTCGAATAGGAGGGGTGTAAATGTTTTAACTGAAACCGAAAGCTGAACTGCCTGAGAGAATGATACCACAGATGGGACAGCTTTTTGCCTAGTCCAAAGCAACAGCAGAATGGGGTTAGGGGCCTGGACCCACCTGGCCGATGTGAAGCCTTCTGTTTCTGTTGTAGCACCAGAAAACAAACTTGCTATTTCTGGCAACGTGAAACTAGAAGCAATTGATTTACTGACTTTTCCTGATCACAAACTAATGATGATTATTTTTGCTGATCACAGCAATCTCTGCCCATCATTGGAACATGCTTGGCTGCAGACTTGGGCCTTGGTAATGGAGGGGAAAACAGAATGGCAGGGCATCAGCAAAATAAAAATAGTGAAGGGTAAATATAACAAAGTAAAGAATAATAAATAAGCATGAAAAATACTACAAATCCAACCTCCCACCCTAAAGGTTTTCGTGATAGTGAAATGCTTCCCAGAGCAATGTATGGCCAAAAAGTAGCCATCCTGAGCGGAAAAGGCATCTACTTCACTAGCAAGGTTTACAAACACTCAGATTTTTTAAGTTTTACAGGGCATGTAAGTAGGTCTCTAAATGTTTAAAACAGATGAAAACCAAACAGGACAGTGAATGAATCTTTTATAGCCCTATTTGGGAGAGCTGAAAGAGCAGCACAGTGAGTACTGTTCACAGGTCAGCACTTTAGCATGCCCTGGTATTTTTTGCTTTAAATGCTCTTGAGAAGAAGTAAAAGGGGAGATGTGAAGAGCCTGTAAAACCTTGCTCATGTCATGCTTCCCTTTCATGCAAACCAAAGTATACACTCTAGTTTCTAATTTCATCTACACACAAAATTGAGGCCTCCCTCCTGCATATAGCTTGGCGAGTGTGTTAAAGCCCTGATGTCCTTCATACTACATCTTCCCACAAATCTGTACTGCTCACCATTAACCATAAGTCATTTTCTAAAGCCTGGGAGTGTTGACTTCCAGCTTCCTGATGGGTAGTGTTCGATAATGACATGCACTGTTAATTCACCAATTCTTGGTTAATGCATTTCAGAAACTGGCAGAGGAATGAAAACAAAGCCTAAGTGGTACTCTGGACTTCCACGTTACACTGCAAGGTGGTAATCATTTGACTGCTGATTGAAATGGCGAAAGCATTCTGAAAACTATAAGTACTATGAAAAATTCAATAGTGTAAAAAGGTGCCTGTACAGGTCAGTAAGATGCTGAAACAGATTGTCCTAATAGGGATTTCTTTCTTTGCTACGTAAACTTGTCCAGCCCCAGCTATTACTCATCCTAATTTCCTCCCAAAAAATACTTCCTCCTTTTATGGAAATAGTTTCATAGTGAGTCAAAGTGTAATGTTCTTCCCAATTATAAAGCTATGTTGATGACTACAGGCAGTCAAAATCTTGCCTGGCAGTAGCTTCATAAATAATAAATAATAAATTAATAAAAAGAGACAGCACAGCTCCCCTTGTAACTGCACTCCAAATTCTAAAAGGCATTGCAATTGGTTGAAGCAAGCTACTTTCAGAGCCTGAAGTCCTCAAGTGCATGTGAGGTGCTCATGGCTGGAGCACTCTGCTAAGCACAGATGAGAAGTTGTGAATCTGGTATTTCCTCCTTCCACAAGTGTGACACATGCCCTGGAAAAAAAAATAAATTAAAAAAATCAATGAACTGGGCTTATATCTTGAAGAGGAGAACAAGAAGAAAAGCATCAGGAGTTAATCAGGAATTAAGAGCCAGAAGGAGATAAAGACATGCCATAAAAAAGCCTGAAGTGGTGGCAAATTATTTTCTGCAAAAGCTCTCCCACTTCTAGTTTGTCTTTCAAATGAGAAAATACTTTATTTTCAGAGCTAGGGAAAAAAACCCAACCCCGAAACAAAGTCAATGGTAACTTTGTTTCCCAGACAAAATTTAGACTTCCATAATTTTCTAACAAAAATTATATGGGATGTGGGTTTTTTCAACCTCTTGCTATTTTCCCTATGTATTAGGAATAATTGTTACAAAATATTCTTAGGGTTTTTTTTTTACATTTAGAGTATTAGTTTTCTTACTGCAGTTATTTGAATAATTGAGGCCATTGTGAATAATATATCCAAGGTACTTAGAATCCTCTGGTTTCTGTTTCAACATGTAAGGTGAAATGACTCATTAGATCCCAGTGAAGTGCTTGGATATATTACTTTACTAATGAATTCCTCTCAGAATAAGATTATTCTAATAAGAGTTTTAAAATAAGAAAACCAGTAAGATCACTGGCCTTGGGGTGACTTTTATTAAAAGGAAAAAAAAAAAAGTGTGGATAATAATTCTTTTGTTTCAACTGTTTTTTAGAGGAAGAACTAGGTAACAGTTCAGTATCTCAGCTGCTGCTTGTATCTGAGCTAAAAGGAGCTCTGCACATTCAGAATGCACAAGTGTTTGTTTATTCACAAAATCAAAACCATCAAAAGAGGTCAATTTTTCCAAAGGAAATCATCTTTTTTTCTTTGCTATCAAGCAGCTGTGCCTCATATGAGCTGATCAGTTGGACTTTATATGTTTTATCCCATGGCTGAGGTAAATGGATCCATGTGTATCCAAACTTTCAGAAGAATTAAAAAGGGAAATGAAAGCACAAGTATATGAAGAGATCTGGACTGTGAAATTGCTGGACTATATTACCATTGGAAGATGAAGAGTAAGAACAGTAACAATTGGTTCTGGGCTTCATAAATACTCAATGCATAATACCCAAAATAGATAATAAATACACTTTTAGTCTTCATTTCCCATACAAAACAGATGCCTAATGCAGAACATCATAGGAATGCTCTGTTGTTATTGGTGCCTTTCCTGTGTGGGGATACAAGCAGCTAAAATGAGGCTTGAAAAGCTGCCTGGGACATGACCAGATATGTGGAAGTTCTAAAAGTGACCCAGTAAATATGAAATCAGAGTTTGCACTAGGTCATCATCTACTCCAATCCTTACCACTAGGGGTAACAGATTCAACTGCTGTCTGATTAAGTCATATTGAACGGGATAATAAATATGCCAAGGAGATATTACACCATTATTGCCATGTTGACTGATGCTATGTGGATGACATAGCTTCATAATAGCTTCATCCTAAACTGACAACCCACCTTGGAGATTTTTTTTCCTTAGAGCTGCTTCCATCAAACACTTGGTAATGACACATGCATGAGCAAGGCATGGTGCTGAGCAGATGCTGAAGGAAGAATACATGTAAGCATACAGCTGCTGTGTGCCATCGCTTGGGCTGTGTGATTCAGACATGGGCAGATAGAACCAGACAGCTCCATGCAGCTGTATGGAGGCCAAGATCACCCAGCCTTTGAAAGGAAAGGTTCCTTGGCCCTGGGAATATCACGTCATCTTCTCTGTACCCTTCCTATGAACTCCCCTCTGTTGACCAGAGATCCACAGAAAGACCTTTTCTATAATTACACTCAGAAGGGCCTGTTTCCTCTCCCTACAGATTATTTCTCAAATCAAGTGATGCACTGAAACACCATCAGTGGACCACTGTAGCCCAAACTGAGCAGAGTTTAACCTAATCTACGTGCCTGCAACGCCACGAACAGCTGGGCTGACAAATCAGATTGCATGCACTCAGTGCTCAGAAAAAAAAGGGCAAATGAAGAATCTAAAAGTGCAATCCCATCACATGCTAACTCTGACAGCAAAGCCCAAAGCTTCCCATAACCTCAGTTGGTGCGACCTGTCTGTCAAGTAACACTGTAAACCAGATCACTTGAGCATTCCAGGTTAAAAATAATCTTGTCAAAAAGCAGCGGTTATTTTTAACTTCCCCCCTCAGTAACCACACTGACAGAGCTGGGCCCAAACAGATGGCTCACCCAGCAAGGGAGAAATGGACTGTGCTGATGAAATGGGAAGGAGCAGAGCAACTAAGGCTTGTTTCCCCATCTATAGCAAAGTTTCACAGAACTTCTCTGTCTTTTGAAAAGTGTAATCATTGCTGAGTAAACCCTGTTTTGCATTTGCCCTCCAGCTGGGTAGGTGGTTTACTTTTCCCTCTTTCTCTTTAATCCAAAGAAGCACACTCAGTCTGTCACACATTCGGATTTTTCTTACAATTTCTATATGTTTGTAAAAAAAAAAAAAGAAGGAAAAAAAAAGGAAAAAAAAAGAAAGGAAAAAAAACCCCAAACCCCTCCCCAAATCCCACCACTTGAACTGTAAATAGAAAAGGCAGAAATCTCCAGTATAAGTAAACCTTAATTGCATTAACATATTTTAAGGCTTGGACATAGGATTCTGGAAGCCACCCTTGATTAGAGGAAGATCTTCCTGTGTCAGCCAGGTGTTCTGTTATCTCACTGAAACACACCTCTTCCTCTCATTTGGAATTGATACAGCCACAAAGGAGCAGGTCTCTTTTTGTGATTACTCAGGGTGTCAAAACACAGAACAACTAACCTCTGAAGCGTAGCAGAAAAAACCCAAATCAGTCTTATTCTAAGGAAGTCAGAACAATGCTCAGTCTTAATACCTTCATTTTTTTCCTACTTTTACAGGAAAATATCCACTGATTTAATTAAGGCAAGTTTCACACTGACTCATCTAGTTCTTCAAAACTAGACAGGGACTTTCTTAGGAAACTTATGGGATATTGAAATTATCCCAGAGGGCACAGAACATATGCTTAAAATAAAATAGGTTTGCATGAAATGCAGCTAAATGTGATCTTCAGCCCCTGACATCCTGCAAACTGGTGGCCACTGAGTGCTCAACAATAGCTTTCGCAGTACCAAGTACATTAACAGAAGCAATGGTTTTGAATCGAAGTTAGACACTTAGCTGCTTTCAGGACTTTAGGAAATTCACTGATATTGACTCTTGTTGAGCTGCACAGCTGCAGGTAAAATGGTTCTCTATTAGCATGTTTGATGCAAATCACACAGCTTCATTGAAAGGAATTATAGAACCCTCTAGGCCCAAAGGATTATTTTACAGCTCATTAGTGCAAACTGTAGCAATTAATTCTTTCCCCATATCGCAAGGGATCTTGTTTCAGCATAGCCACAGAACTACCATCAGCACTATTGGCACATGGATCCAATGCCTTCCTACTTGTGTGAGTCAATACCTCTTGAATAAGTCATCTGCGACTAAGCCTGAGTAGAACTACATTCATGCCCAAAACACAGTCAGGGCAAACCTTGGTGCACATTGTCTGCACCCTGAGTGCATGCTGGCGGGGAAGCTTATCTTCCAGGCCATTTTTGACCTGCTGGCATCAGCACAGTAGGTGGCCACTGGCTGTGATTCCTGCTTGAAGACAAGGTCTGACAAACGAGTAAGTGCGCTACACCAGGGATGAACTTCAGTCTGCAGGAAGCAAAAGATTAAATCAAAGCATAAGCTGCCCTCTGAAAGGTCTATAGAGCTTCTGTTGTGGGGAGGAATATCTAAATGAGGTAACGGCTGTGGATGCTTTGTGAAGAGGAAAACCCTCTTGCATTTATTTCTCTACAGTAGCTGGTACAACAGTTGGATTTGGCCCAAAACCAGGTTCCAGCCAAGCCTGCTTTCTCTTGAGCTCCTGCTCCCAGTGAGGACCCAGGTTCAGGACTGGGTTTTCAGAAAGCCTTCGCTTCACTAATTTTTTAGGACATTTTGCAGGATAAGTCCCTGCTGGTAACAGACTAACTGGCACTATTGTTGGAATAGAAGTGGCACTGAACCAGCATTACTCAAGGATCTGGAAGACTTCCAGCACTGTATTGAAATCCACATTTGAAACTACCACTGGAACTCTTTTCAGCCCAGCTTGTCAAAGTAAAGTGCAAATCAATCAGTCTGGTTAAACCCCTGTGAAAAGCAGGGCAGTTTGGGCGATGAGTTGCAGGAAGATCCCAGACCCTGCCTGAGCAGGAGCTCTACTCATCCTTAAGGGAAAGAAAATAAATATGATAAATACAAGAGTTTGTGCTGTTTAATTGCAATACAGGGCTGCTGGCTGCTTAGCAAGAGCTGGAGAATTCACTGACTGACCACCAGCAATCACTCACCGTCTGCTAATTAAAAACCCAATGGCACACTGTTCCCTGAGAGAGCCAGCACTTTCTTCAACAGCTGAACACCTCCTGCATTCCACAATGAATAAAAAGATACTACTGTCTTAAAACTGACACATACAATCCTGGTTTAGATTAATTTATATGCAGTATTTTACCTGTTTCACTGAAGATGCTTTTTCTTGTCAGTGAGAATTTTATATGGTGGGAAAAACAGAACATAGATTATTCCTCAGTTAAAGCCTCATTCTTTTTTTTCTGCTTCAACTGATATAAACCAGGAGTCATTCTGTACAAATCAATGGAAAATCACTCATTTAAGTTAGTAGAACATAGTCCTCTACTGTCATCTTGTAGCATGTTTAAGCAGCAATAATTGCTTATCAGGTGCTTTTTGTGCTGTATGGTAAAGTGCTATGGACTTGGAAAAGTTTTGCATGGTCAGTGGTGCACATGCACAGGAATGGCTGGACAGGACTTTTCAAAGTAATTATAGAAACTGGTTTCCCTGAGAATAGAAACATGAGGAAACTGATGTGAAGGACAACTCAGTTGCACGAGTACAGCCAAAGGAATAACAAAGCTTATGGAAAAACAATGTCCTGAAGGTTTTATTCAGGCAAGAATTCCACTGACCTAGGAAGTGTCTAAAATTATGCACTGCAGTGTCAATCATGAGAACATGTAACTAAGACACATAAAGTATGTAAGTACCTAATCTGAGCTGGGGGACATTACTCAAGCTCACCCTCATGATGCAATTGTTAGTGTAGCAGCGTATGTAAAAAAAACCCAAACTATCTCATATTCATCTGAGCAGAGAGATAATTACTGCAGATCAGCCATCTTGCTGTACCTCCTGGTTCTGTGGGTTTGTTTTGCTATCAGGTGGCCTGGCTAAATCCTAGAATCAGACATAGAACTGTCTGCATTTTGCTATGTTTTAGTAAAAGCATAAGTGTTATAAAATAAGAGAAAAAAAATCATTTTATGATGAGTTTTTTGTTTAAAGATTTTAAAGGTTCAAACAAAAGGAGATTGAGCTAACCTAAATTTGCTGAATCTTATTTAAATACAAAGTGCTTTTTCATCAGATGTGTTTTAACCTCAGACAGAAGAATATGTTTGCCTCAAAATATGGCAGAAGTGGATAGATGCATGTGAGGACTCTTGAAAAAGTTGATTAGAATATAGCCTTGGAAAAACTCCATGTAGGCTAGCAAATAAAATTATTTAGATACTTTTTTCATTTGCTTGGAATGTAAACCAGGAAAAGCAACTGAACAAATGAAACATCTGTAGCCCTGAATTTGCTATGGTTCCCTCAAGTGTTGCTCTAGCTTGCAAGTATCGTGATAAACTTTACCATTCACCAGACTGGAAAGAAAGCCCTTTTGCTCTCCTCGCACGAGCAATTTCTTTCTACTCCTCTCTCTCCTTGGCAGCAGAAGCTTGAATCCAAAGGAAACTGTATTAAAGAGAATAAAAGCAGAGTGTGTTAAGTTGGTTATATATTCAGTGAATGAAACGACATAATTACAAAGAGGGGGAAAAGAACACACAAGCAGAACACAAAGCTGCTATGTTCCAGAAACCAGCTGAATAAAGAAAGTGCTATTTGTGAAAGAGCAGCTCTTTGAAACTTCATAGACTTGTTCAGAGCTCACTGGTGCCAGCAGAAGAGCTCCCGCTCACCTTACTGAACTTTAGATCAAGCCTTTCTCTGTTTTTAGAGTGTTTCACTTAACATTAAAGAAGGATATATTTTTCCTCGAGGTTTATACAGTTCAGGAATATTTTTAGTTACAGATAGTAAAGTTTCTTTAAAGGAAACAATTGACAAGATGTGCAAAAAATATTGCAATAAAAGTTTCATCTTTGGGCACATGTATCTATATTGCAGCTCATTACAGATGGGAAAGATAGACCTTATTTACCTAACTGATGAAAGAATAAATCTTTATTAAGCGTCATGGAACTCAAAACCCCTACAGGTTTCTGTGATTAAAACCTAAGCATGAAATTATACAGCACTTCAGCTCCACAAATAAGCTTTTAAGATCAACTGAGAGAGAAATAGTGAGCAAAATGGAGATAAAGAAATGCAACCACTATTAAAGGAAGATTTTATTGAGCGTCCATCAAATTCCCCCTTTTTCATGCTATTCATCCTGCATAGTGCTAATAACTGTCCAAAGTAGGCATCAAGTTGGGGTCAGCCATTGATTCAATTTCTGAAATAAACCCTTTCTTACAAGTGGGAAGCCCACCAGATATCTCCAACACATTAACAGGTTTTGAAAAGGAATTCTCGTATTTTCTATTACACGTGTGTGCACATTTACATGTGCAATATAGTGAAAGTACTCACCATCGCATGATGCCATATTCTTGCTCACCCACGTGTTGATGCATGTAAGCATTTTGTTTAGATTTGTATGGCTTGCATGACTCAAAGGACTTGTTTGGGAGCTCTGTATGGTGGGAAAAACAAATCAGTCCAGATAATGATTCATGGGGCGTGGACTGTTTTCATTGGGAAAGAACAAAACACTAAAAGCCAGAGAATCCTATTTTAAAAGGAGGTTTCCACACTGAATGCAGTCTCCTGCCTGGATCTGGCAGGCATCCCAGGAGCAGACCCAAGATACTGCAACTAGTGACAATGCCAGCGACCTCCAGCAGCAGCACCCTTTATTTCCCCAGAAAGCAGAGATGATTTGAGGGGGGAAAAGCCCCTCCCAGCTGTGGCTTGCTCAGGGGACAGACCAAATACAAGCACAAATCAGGCCTCTGATTCAGAGTTATTCATCTTATACCAACCACTGAAAAGTGATGCAGCCTTATAAAGGCTGGTGGACTTGTACACACCTCAGAGGCAGATGTCAGCCAGAGCATGTGTGTTGGTCTGCTGGCTGTAACTGAATCACCCAGTGATGCAAAGCAGAGTGTTTGACCCTTAAAGAGTAATGATTTCATAAAAAATTGAGTATTTGACTTGTGGTTCAGCCCCATAGGAAACAAGACTCCCATTGGTAACAGGCACAAAATTTCCCCTAGACACTCGCAAAGGCCTTAAAACTACAGCTCATCAAAAAAGCTGTAGTTCTGGCTTAAAATCACAACAAAGGCTGCAGCAGCCTGCTTTCCTGTCCAGCTTTCCAAGCACCACAGCTTTTGCCAGATTCCTGTCCCTGCTTCTCAGAGGTGAAGAGTCTTGTTTGTGTGAGTATTCGCTGAAACCGCGATCACATTCTCCTTAAAAAACGGGGGAGCAAAACATGCTCTCTATGGCCCCGCTAGCCCAGGCTGTCTGCCCTTTCCCCCCTGATGTTTCCAGCTTCCTTGCAGCTTCTTCCCCTTCTTCTGGCCACTCAGCTGCTGGGACTGCAGCTTCTGCTTTTGTGTGGGACTCAGTTCCCCATTGTTTCTGCAACTTTCTGAGGGGCAAAATTTTCCATATATGCTGATTATCAAAGATCTGGTTCCTGCATTCCCATTTAAAAATATACTGCCTGAAGTTCAGCTGTTCCCGTAATAGTTGTTACTCCTCACTTCCTATAACTTCTGACTCTGGATTTTAACCATCAAACTTCAACCAACAGTACACACTTACATGTACTTTTAACTCTTGAAAAGGAAGAGGCTCCCCTACACTCTGGGATTAATAGACACCTACGTAATTCTGACTTGGAAAATTTACCAGAATGGTAAAACTCACTTGTCCTGGTTAGAAGCATAAAGCTAAAACCCAAGAAAACATCTCTCATTTTTCCAACATCATTTTCTTGCAGGCGATGGCAGAAATCATTTCAAAGCTAGTCTAATTAATAAAAATCCAATCAATTACTATATTACCTTGAAGAATTCAGATTTAGGAAGACATTGATTATTAACAGAGTTTATGTTGGATTAAGTTTTCAGAAGCAGTCTGCCTCAACCTGATGAGTCAGTCATTAGGCATCTGAAATGGCAACACACGGAGAAAGGCAATCTGACACTTAAAGTGACATTAACCTGCAGGTTATCATGGGTTGGAAATTTCTCTTGCTAAATGAAAGGCCTGGAAATGGAACTAATGCATCAAAGTTCAAACAATCAACCCTTCTTAACAAACTCAGATAAAAATCCCAAGTGAAAACAAATGAGCTGGGAGGGGAGGCAGAAGCTAGCAAGCATTTTCCACTTTCCTAATCATCCAGCTGAAAAAAATAATAATAAAACAAATAGAAGGCCTTTCTGCATCTCATTGTTCCTTGGCACTGTTACAAGAAGCGACTTAAAAAGACCTACTTCACGCTCCTTTCTCATGTCTTTTTTCCACTAGGAACTGGTGCTCCTTCATGCAGTCCCGGCTGGTAACATACATAGAAGCCTGCATGAAGGAGAAGTACATTGTCAACTCCCAACAGCCCTGTCCAAATGGAGCACCAGACTGTCAGAAGATCATGTAAGTATCCTAAATAAAACCACTGAAGAAAAATGGAATTTTCTGTTAAGTATCTAGATAATATTTTCAAAAGTATTAAATGACACATTTTAAAAAGAATTAACGCATCAACTCAGTTTAATACCAAACTGACGCAGGGTATGGTTTATGCACCTAAGGTGATCAGGCATTTAAGCAACCAGGGAGAGCAACTGTCTTTGCAAGCCACCAAGTACAGGACTAAAAGGTGATTAAGTGATTTTTTTTTCAAATCTTCCCACATGTTTATTCAGAAAAAAACAAAGACCATAGCTTTTTCATGATTTTCAGGTCATAATACACAGACACACCTTAAAAAGGTCTCAGCCTGTGACCACCAGTGAGACCATTTACATGACAGGAGGTAGAGATGTATGATTGCCCAAGTACCTACTCTTCTCTCAGCAGGACTGGCTGCCCAAAGAGTACTGGTGAAGGCCCATAGTGTACCATAAGGCACCAGAACTGGCACATTTTTAAAGCTGAGAGACACTGACTTCCAACAGACTTCTGAAATGAAATATTATGTAATACTCGCCTACATGCATTTGTAGTTACTTGATTGCAAAAATGCTTTTGTTATTTAATACAATTCATTTCTCTTTCTCTGAATGAAAGAAGAAAGTTTCATGACTATTTCTAGTTGAGTTTATAACAAATCTATCTTCCTTGGGACCAGTGACATTTTGTAATATTTGTTTAAAAAGAAAACTTTCTCTACAACACAACAGAACATTACAAAAGTTCAAGCTCAGCCCAAATTTGATTGCAAAGAACTACCACAATAAATATTAGAGTTGCTTTTCTGATAGCTACGTAATTTTGCCATCTGTGACATTTTTCAGACTTGTGACAGATCAGTGCCAACATGTTTGGAAAAAAATGTCTGCTGAAGAACAATAAAGCCTGAGGCAGACCACTGGAGCCCTGTTTGCTGAATAGCAGTTATATTATGTGTGCAAGTAAGAATGTGCACGCACTGCCTGTTGTAATCCTGAAAAACAACCTTATGTAGGGGAAAAAATATTGCCGTGGACTGCCCCAATGTTTTCCTAAGCAGCAGTGATAAATTTTATGTCAAATTTCTTAACTCTGTTCTGCATTAGTCATCTAGGACACACTTGGCAGCAGCCTGCTGCTACAGTCAGTGAATTTACCCTGAGTGAGGCTAGCTGAAAATGACTTGCAATCTAATGCCCAGACCCTTAATCCTCAGGTACAGGACAGCTCTGAAGCCAGTCTA